ATTTATTGTACTTTCAAGTACTTTTCTCCCTAACATTTGAACGCGATTTTAAAAATGATTTTTGGGGCAGTAGATGTGAGGTGAGTTTAGGAAAATTAATTGTSTGGAAATTTTCCTATTTCACCTTATTGCCTGCACTAATTATTTTGATAGTTTTAAATTTTTCTTTATTTGTCAATCTCCTAACATCTTTTCCTTTTGAATTTGTTTCCTCGAACTTTTTTCCAATTCCTTTCCACTTTTTTTATGAATATACTTGCAATTTAAAAAATATTTTAAGAACTATGATTTTTTTAATCCTCTCTTATTTTTAACTTTTTTTTTTTCCTGTCTCAACATTTCTTCTATCTATCAACATTTTTACCTCTTTGTCCCTCTAATTTTTTGCAGTCTTCTATTTTTTCCCCAAAACTTGTAGGGGTTCAAAAGCACATGGATGAACATATTTTCGAGGAAAAGATATTTTCTATCAGAGCATCATTGTTGGTGGCGATCCAGTAGAATAGCCATGGATGAGCCTAATTAGGAATTAACTACTCTTGTGCAGGTCTAGAAAGTTCTGTTGACCTCCTACAAGTTTCTACAATGGAAGGTTCAAAAGCCCATGGATCAAGTATCAACATATTTAGGAAGAAAGGTATTTTCTATTATAGCATTATTGTTGGTGGCACTGGGTTGTGATATTTTTCTGTAATTAGAAGTGGTAGTTTCCAGTAGGGGAGTTTGATCTTTTTCTGCAATTAGAAGTGGTGGTTCCCAGTAGCTTTTTGTTGTATATACTGAGTGTTTGGAGGTTCTTTTTAATTTTTTTAATTTTTATTTTTCATGTTGACAAAATGGGATTTTTACATTTTCGCAATCAGATTTAACATTTGTTTAGTTTTATATGATACGTCTTAGCTTTTAACATTCGGGGAACAAGGTTATTTTGTTCAAATTTACGATTAGTTTAGTTTTATAAGATACGTCTTAGCCTTTAACATTGTGTTTCAGATGAATGATTGTTGAATAAACAAACCTACYWGTGCTTTGTGTTYGGGGAACRAGATTATTTTGTTTGAGGTATGTTGCCATTTTGGGACTTCTTAGAATTGCAAATACTTGGGATGTCAATTAGGCAAATATGGATCAGTATKCAACTCTTCCCAGTTTGTTGTATTSTTTTATCGTTTTCTTTTCTCCTTTTTGAATTAGGCAAATTGGTYGGTATGTTTAATTTCCATGATGCCCATCTTCTTCAGCCATTCTAACCTGTAGTTAAAGTTGATTTTCCTTAAACAAGTTTGTCGAGAAATGAATTTGAGATTCTATTTGAAACAGAATTTGAGTGAGGAACTTAKAKGAGCAAGAAGGRATTCTTCTACCGGTCYCGCGGGTAAAAAMGATACAGAATAACGGTGAACACTTTCACGTTGCAGCATGTAAGTTCGGTTCTTCATATAAATTTGATTGTGTGTATTGCTTTTAAAGCATATAAATGTTTATTTATATAATAATTTCTATATTGA